AGCTCGGGGAGGTAAAGGTGGGGGCCAGTAGTCGTGAGCTGGCATGGCGTCTCCCATGGAGCAGTCTATCCAAGATGTAAGAGTGCATGACCCTCTCTTAGGGGCAATTTAGCGGATTGGTGTCTGAGAGCGTGACCGTCTCTCTAGGGCAGTTGAGCGAAGGATGTCTGAGCGCATGACTTGTATTTCAAGGGAGTCGACGACTCCAGCCAGCGGCTCCATACCTGATGTGCCATGGCTTGATTCGGTGGATTCAAGATGTGAACGCCTCTTTCCTCCACGTCGATTTCACAGAGCGGCAACCTCTCCAACTCTGACGTGGCTGACGAGGCTTTCGTTGGCGACTGGTACACCTCACGGCGCAGGTCGGCGACTGGTACACCTCACGGCGTGGCCTGCAGATACTCAAGAGGGGTGCATCCGAAGTGATCTCCCCAATCCAGAGTGAATATATGTGTATATATGTATATCTATAGAGAGAGAGAGAGAGAGAGAGAGAGAGACTCCTTCTCCTCCTCTTCCTCCAACCCCCCCTGCACCCGTTCCGACAGCACGTGCCCCCCCCCCCCCCCCGCGGATCCTAGTGTGGGGGGGGGGGCGAAGGTGCGAAGGCTTGGAAAAGCTCGAGACGTTGACGACGCAGATAGCGTGTCGCGCCGAAGCGTGGTGGGCCAGAACCGGCGGCGCGACACGCTAAGCCAAAGTTCCTGACCGCACCCACCGGTCGGAAGAATTGAGTCGACGCATGAAGTAGGAGCGCATTGGAAATACACTGGGTATCTGCTCCGCCCCCCTGAAGGGGAAGGACACGGGAAAGCCACTCGATGACTGACGTGGGAGAGCGCCTAAAGCAGATTGGCATCTGGGAGTCCAGAAATACACAGTTTAAAGTACCGGTAGGTACTGCTGTATGCTTCCGCAGTTCGAAACTACCCGAATAATGAATTGTTGTGTGGGTTCTGGTAAGTTCACCTCCATTTCACGGCATCATCTCCTCCCTCCTCCGCCATCTCAAACAGCGCTGGGCTGAAATGGCGTGCGAGCGAGTCCCGACCTGCGTGAAGTCCAGCATTCATATCGGGCCTCGCCACGCCCCACCTCCCCTCCACCCCTCCATGCAAGGAAAATTGCCAGAGTCTGATCAAAAAATGCCTCTTAGTGCGGTGGTGGTTACTTCTGACTTGTTTCGCATTTAGAAACTACCCAAACAGGCCGAACCACCATTTCGTAACCTACATGGTGGTTGGCACATTGTGCAACCGGTCCACGCCTAACCGCCGCTCCGATAACCACCATTTGGGATTACGAGAAGTTGGTTAGGGACGTTGATTTCTTCTTCTGGTGTTTCAGACTGTTCTTGATCATTGGCTCGACCATCAGCGCCCCAGCCACCATTTCGGAAATCAGCAACATCTCGAGTGTCCGCGCGTTTTCTGTGGCATGCCACGAAAATATGACGTCGGTGGAGACAGGCGGGGTAGGGTCACCACTGGGAGGTTCGCAGAGTGGACACGGCCATGCCGGGTCCCTGAATTAAATTGACGAGCGAACAAAACACATCCGTACTCATAGGAGGGCCGGAAAGAGGAGGACGGGCTATGAGCATGGGTGTGGGTTGTCGGGCACTGGGGGAGGCTCCCGTTCGAACGGGGACCCTCATCCGACCACACGCACCCATAGTCCCCTCCGCCCCCCCTGTGGGTGTGGGTGCGTGTTGTTCGCTCGCCATGTAATTTGTCAAACAACAGAATTCGAATCTCACAGCAAGCCCGACATCAACACCTCTCGAAAACGCCCTCGCGGATCCCTCGTGTCGCGCCGCCCTCAGGAGTTTACCCTGGGTTTCTTACTAAGCGCGGAGGGGTACCGCCCCGACGGGGGTCAACCTCGCCTCGTCGTCGCGCCGCGACGGGGGTCGGAACGCCTTTCGCTTGCGGTGGCTGCCCGCGGCGGGGTCGATGTGGGGCTGTCCGCGGGGGTGACGCCCCCCCGACGCTTACTCAGAAACTCGGAGCATGCAGATGTGTGTTCTGCCCCCGGCGCGCTTCGCGGGCCAGGGGGTGGGGCCCAACGCCGGGCCAAGAAACCCGCGCGGCACTCGAAAGTTCATGTTCGTATGACGTTCTTCGCCCTTCTGGAGAAGGGGGCGAGGAATGAGGGTGGAGGCTTGGGAGCATCCTCTGCTTCTCTTGTCCTCGGAGATGTCTGCTCATGCGTTTCGCCCTCCCTCTCGAAGGCCTGCGCCGTGGTGGCCAGGAAGGGCGCGACGGCGCACGCCGCCGCGAACTGCAACTCGGGGCTCCTGGGGAATCAGCGTCGCCCGCCAGACGTCCGACGCTGTTGCTGAAGTCACACCCTTGAAGAATGATTACTGTTGCCAGGTGTTGCTGGAAGTGCCCCTGGTTTCAGGTACCTCCAGGATTCTCGGGGTGGCCCAGACGGCCTCCAGGGCACCCCTCACGAGGCCGAGGGGGCCCCAGGGGCTTCGAAATGGACCGAAAAGCTGGGGGCATCTTGGGTCAAAGGCACTTCTAGCAACACCCGATGTTGATCCCCCCGCACCGGTACACGTTGTGTTTCTCAATCGAGGCGCCCCCCGCTGGGGACTCGCACCTTGTGTTTCAATCAAAGAAAATCGTCAAGCTCAAACTGTGTTGCTGTGCCCCAAATTAGGACGTTCGGTTTCAACTTCGCCTCTCACATCTCTCTGAGCAACGGCCGAACCCTAATCCCACCGTTGTAACGGCGGGCTCCAATTTCGCATTCTACGTGTCCCTGAACGCTGCCGCTGGTCGCCCTTCCCGCCCGCGCTGATCCCAGCGCTGTAGCTAATGACCTCGAGCTTACTTTTCGTTCCCCACGTCGCGCAGAGCGGCGAAGAGGTCTGCTGCGACTGCTTGCCGCGTCGCGGTAATGAAGACGACGCTGGGCTCCAACATTACCTCGCACATCCGGCCGAGCATCGCCAAACTACGCTGCCGCTGATCGCCCTTGTCGTACGCAATGACCCCAACGCTGTAACTGCCAGCTGCCAGTGCTCGTCCTTTCTTGTACCCGCTGATCCCAGATGACGTCCGAACCCCAACGCCGCCTCCCACATCTCGTTCAACAGCGCCAGAACCCGCTGCCCCTGCCATCCTTCATTCACGCGCTGTTCCCCAGCGTTGTAGCTGACTAGCCTGTCGTATCGTCTCTCTGCAGCACAGCGATAGCTGACTAGCCTGTCGTATCGTCTCTCTGCAGCACGGCGACGATCGCTGGGTTGCAGCTGGCTGCGTCGGGTTCCCGCTTCGCCTCCCGCGTCTCACTCAGCAGCGCCAGGGCTCGCCTGGGCTCTCTGCCACTGCTCGCCTTTCGCGCGCACGCGCAACTCCCAGCACTGTAGCTGATGGCGCCAGGCTCCGCCTTCAGTTCCCGCGCCTCGCTCGACAGCGCGCGCGCCCACTGCCAACGCTCACCCTTCCCGCACGCGCTGATCCCATTATTGCAGCTGACAAGGGCCGACCCGTGGCCGGCGGCCACGACAAGTTTTCTGAAATTGCTTGCAGAGCGTGGGTCGCATCGACATGCAGGCCAGCGTGGTCTGGAAGTGAGAGGGGGGAGGAAAGAACGAACAATGGCATATCACAAACGTAGCGGTTGCTTGGCCCAAACATGCCCGGACAATTTTTGAACAAACCGCCCACCCGGGTGCAAATTCTCACAAATTCTCAGTGGCCGCCCCGCCCTATCTTCACAGTGCATGGCGCTGCTGCTCGGGATCCACGCTGACACACTGACTTGGCGTCGTCGTCGTCATCGTCGTCGTCATCGTCGTCGTCATCGTCGTCGTCATCTCCGTTGCGCCAGCGTCACCCGAGTGGCGTCGAGGCACTCCGAAGCCATGTCAGGCACTGCCCGATTGAGGTGGAGGCGAATCAGGAGTCGTCTGGGCGCCGAGGACGGCGTCGCCCCCCAGAGCGGAACCGCCGAGGCAAAGCAGCCCAGGGCGGAGCCCAGGAAACCTGCCGCCCGTCTCGCACGCCCGCGCTATACCGCCCAGGGATTTGATGGGTGTGCCATCCTCGGGCCTTCCCAAAACGCATCTTGGAGCCCTCTGGGCCAGCCTCGCGGGTTCCGTTTGTGAGCCTCTTGGGGCTTCTTTTTTTTTCTCCTGGGGACCACCTTGGGCCCTCTTGGGCCGTCCTGGGGGCCTCTTGGACCGTCCCGGGGCCGTCTTGGGCGCCTGTTGGGTTGTCATCGGCCCGTATTGGGCCGCCGTGCCCTGCTTGGGTACTTCTTGGGCCGTCTTGGGCGCCTCCTGGGCCGTCCTGGAGCTGTCTGAGGCCGTCTGGAAGAGCTCAGGGGGATCTTCTGGGGCGTCTTCGAGAGCTCTTGTGGGCGTGTATGGCCGTGTTAGACGCTTCGAAGGACGACTTTTGCTTCTTTAGGTTGTCTGGCGGACGACCCGCGCGCGTCGCTGGGACCCCTCCGGGGCGACCAGCGCGCGTCGCGGGGACTCCGCGCGGCGCTGCGCCCGAAGCCTTGGACATGGGCGTGCACGGGCAAAGAAGGAGAAACAGAAGGGATGGAAGCGGGCGCAATGCTCGTGAGGGACGCGCCGACATGGGCGTCGACATTCATGCACATAGACTCCCTCGCACGCAGACCCATCGTGGAGCGTCGCGGGGACCTCGTGGGCCACGTGGAGGCTGCCTCAGACGTCCTGGACTCCTCTGGGACCGTCTCGGAGTCCTCTCGGATTTTCTCAAGGGCTTTTCGGGACCCCCTCCGCCGCCACCAGCGTCGCAGCACGGGCGTCTGGGCAACGTCTGAGGTCCCTGAGGGCGCCTCTTGGGGCTTTCCTGGCGCTGGAGGAGCCTCTCCCGCATGCGCGGAGCCTTGCAATGCAGCAAAGACGACGTCGGGCTCCAAGTTCGCCTCCCGCCTCTCGCTCAGCAGCGCCATCGCCCGCTGCCACTGCTCGCCCTTCTCGCACGCGCTGATCACAGCACTGTAGCTCACCTTTTTCGAACCCGTGAATGAAACCCACTGTGTGCTGAACATGGGACTCGCACATCGTGGGTGACCAGCTCGTCGAATTTGAACAGCTCGGGCGTCCCTGGGGCCGTGTGTCGGGGGCCTCTTGGGCCCTGCTGCGAGCCTGTCTCGGGCGTCTCGAAGGCCTCCTGCAATCATTTGGCGCCTCTGGGGCCGCTCCCGGGCTGCCCCCCCCCCGAGCCTGCTCTGGGGGACGGCCCAGGAAACTTATTTGCGCGTGCGTGCTGTGATTGAGCAGGGACCGACCGTCCCAGCATTCCTTTAGGTTTACCACGAAATGTTCTTAGAACCCACGAATGTTCTAATAACAATGTTCTTAGAACAAAACCATGTGTTAAAACAAGACAGTCTCAACCAGAAATGTTCTAAGAACATTTCGTGGAAACCACAAAAAAGTTCTTAGAACATTGTTTGGTAGGGCTATAGGCGAGCCGGGAAGCTTCGCCACTGCTTGATGTGAGGTTTTGTCAGAAGGTCTCCCTGTCACGCACGAGGTTAGCTGCAGGCTCCGAGAGCCGGCGCTGTCACACTCCTGACAGGCGGAGTGAGGGAGGCCCCAGGAGCGGCAGGAGCCCGCGATGAAGGAAGGGGGAAGAAGTCAGAGGAGAAGGCCCCCCCTGTCACCCCTAATCGGCCGTAGGGGAGGAGGTCTTGAGGCCGACTCTGGGCCATCTCGGAGTGGTCTTGGGATTGCTCTTGGGAGCTCCGTGGGAACTATGGGAGTCTTTTCCTGGGACCGCTCGTTGGAACTCCGTGGGAATTGTCGGAATCTCTTGGCAAGCGTCGGAGTCGTGTAGGCGACTCTAGGGCATCTCGGAGTGCCCCTGGGACCGCTCTTGGGAGCCCTGTGGGGACCATCGGAGTCTCTTGGGAGGCTCTGGGGCACCTCGGAGTGGTCTGGGGCCTGCCTTGGGGGCATGGGACTTGCTTGGGGGCGCTTGGGGTTCGAGAGACGGCGAAAGGGTGCCGTGGCTCGAGGCACTCTTCTTGGGAGCTCCGTGGGAACCATCGGCTCCTCTTGCTTGGGAGACTCTGGGGCATGTGGGAGGGGTTCTTGGAGGGTTCTGGGCAGATCGGGGGCTGCGGGAAGGGCGTCGTCTGGGCTCCCTTCGGCCCCTCTGCGAGCCCTCGCGGGGGTCTCCCCGGAGCCTCTGGGTGGGCATCTTGGCATCTCGGAGCTTTCTTGCGCCATCTCGGGGGCCTCTTGGGCCGTCCTGGGGCCAGGCAGGGGGTCGCGGGCCGTCTTGGAGCTTGCCTTGGCGCCTGTTGGGCAGCTCCTGGGGGCTGTCTTGGGGGCCACGTGAGGCTGGCTCGGACTTCTTCTGAGCAGTCTTCGGGCCCTCTGGGGCCGTCTTGGGCCACTTGGCTAGGTCTTTGGGCGATCTGGGTTGGCCCTGGAGCCGTCTAGGGCCGTTCTTGGCCCGAAGTGGCCGGAACCTGGAAAGCCTTCAAAAATCAACGAGAACCCATGATTTGGGCCTCGGGGGACCGTCATCGGGGTCGGCTTCAGCCGTTTTCCCAGGCACATGGTCCATCGTCGGGTGTCATGAGGCTCCGTTCGGGTCCTCTTGGGCCAGTTTGGCGCGCTCCGGAGCGTCTCAGAGCGGTCTTGCGGCTGCCAGAGGCCGTCTTGGGGCCGCCGATGGGCTTTCTGGAGCCGTCGGAGAGCGCCAGAGCGCTTCGGGCGCTGGGGGCATCTCTTTCACTACAAGCCCGCTTCGCACGCGCAACGCCCAGAATTGTAGTACAGATGACGTCGGGCTCCAGCTATGTCTCCCACATCTCGCTCAGCAGCGCCAGCACCCGCTGCCGCTGCTCGCCCTTCTCGCACGCGTTGATCCCAGCATCGTAGCAGACTAGGGCTAACCCGTGGACTACGTGCACTTGCGGGGAAATCTGTGGTGCCGGCAGGCGCACTCAATAAAATTGGGCCCCATGGTCGTTTTCCACATCACGGTGAGCAGCGGGAGCACCGGGTGGCACTGCTAGTTCCCTCGTCGCCGTCTGCCGCCGCTGTCGCCGCAGCTGGCGCTGCCGTTGCCGCAACTGCCGCCGTCCCGGGGGCGTTCGGTGCGCTCCGTGCGCTTGGGGGTGCTCGTCGGAGCGCCACTTTCGCACGCGCCGCGATCCGAATTGTAGTCCTGAAGACGTCGGGCTCCAGCTTCGCCTCCGACATCTCGCTCAGCAGCGCTAGCGCCGCCTGCCACTGCTCACCCTTCTTGCACGCGCTGATCGCAGCGCTGTAGCTGACGACGTCGGGCTCCAGCTTCGCCTCCCACATCTCGCTCATCATCGCGAGAGCCCACTGCCACTGCTCACCCTTCTCGCATGCGCTGATCCCAGAGCTGTAGCTGACTAGTGTGAACCCGTGGATTAAATCCACGGCGTGCTGAGCCTGGGACTCGCACACCGTAGGTGACCAGCTTGTCGAAGCTGAACAGCTCGGGCGTCCCTGGGGCGGTAGGGGCGACCTTCGGAGGCACATGTGACGGTCACGTTTGAGGGCAATGGTTGGGGGCTGTGTGTGGGCTACGCGTGGGGGTGACGTCCGGGGGTTACGCTAACTGGGACGGTAAGGGCGACCTTCGGAGGCTTTGTGCGGGGGCCGCCTTTGGGTGTCCCGCTTGGGGGCCACGTGTGGGGCCGACGTTAGGGGCCACGTCTGGGGGCCACCTTGGAAAGCAGTCGGGGAGCTCTGGGGGCACTGACCTGGAACCGTGAAAAGGAATGGGTTTTTGCCAATCGCGCCGGACCTGGGCGCGATTTACCAACACAATGGTGTTCAGGCGCAATCAGAGCGAGGGGGCCACGTTTGCGGGCCTCGGTCGGGGGCCGCGCAGGGAGGTCTTGGGGCCATCTTGGGGGTCTCGGGCCGTCTTGGAGGTCGCTTTCGGCCTTCTTGGGCGGCATCTGGGGCCCTCCTTGGGGCGTCTTGGGGCCATCTTGGGTGTCTCCGGCCATTTCGGACGTCGCTTTGGGCCCGCTCGGGCGGGATCTGGGGCCCGGTTTGGGCTGACTTGGGGGTCACTTCAAACTCTCTTGGGCCGTCTTGGGGCCCTCTTGGGCCGTCCACGGGCCTTCTTGGGCCGTCTGGGGGCCCTCCTGGGGCCCTCTTGAACCGTGCAGGGGCGATCTGGGAAGCCCCCGGGGCCATCCTGGGCCGTTGTAGGCCCGAAATGGCGGGATCAGGAAAACCCTCCAAACCTTCGGAAAACGCTCAGGTATTGCCTCTGCCCTCTTGGGCGTTTGTGAGGCCGTCTTGGGGCGATCTGTGCGCTTCGCCCAGAATGGTAGTACAGACGACGGTGGGGGCATTGGATAAGGAACCCTTAGATAAGGAATCCAGGGTCTGGAAGCCGCTGGAACTTCCATCGTGGATCGGCCATGGATATCACCGCCGCCCTCATTGGCTAAGGATTCCTCCAGGGCCTGGCGCCTCCTGGGACGATTCCTTAAGAGGTGCCTCCACCGTAGTGTGCACCCGTGGAACATCCACGGCAGGCAGGCCACAGTGTGGGCCCCGAACGCGCAGACGTCGCCGGCGCGAGCAGAAGGAGGACATGGAGAGCGGCACCAGAGAGAGAGAGGGTGGAGGCTCCCAGAGGCAGAGGGGGAGAAGGAGGGGGAAAAGGAGGAGGAGGAGAAGAGAAGAGAAGAGAACGGGGAGAAGATCTTTCTGGGGTCTCGTTTGGGGTATGGAGCTTTCTTTGGGTTGCCGTGGAAATCTCCCCTGCTGCCCCTAGTCAGCCGTGGGGGGGGGCGAGGCTTGCTGGTGTGCATGGAGGAGAGGAGGGGAGGGCAAGCCAGGTGCGCTCGGGCCATATCTGACATCCCATCCCTCACTCCCATCCCTTCCATATGCGTTGTGACTTGCGCGATCTGTGGGACCTGTGGAACCTGTGGGAACTCTGTGGCCGGTGGGACCTGTTGGACCTGCGGGGCAGGTTGGAACAGTGAGCCTGTGGGACCTGCGGGACTTGTGGGACCTGTGGGACCAGGGGGACCTTTGTGGCCTGTGGGGCTTGGGAGACCTGCGACACCTGTGGGACCTGTGGGACCTTTTGGAGCCGTGGGGGCTGTTGGAACTGTGGGACTTGTGAGACCTGCGGGACCTGTGGAACCTGATGGACCTGTGGGTCCAATGTGGGGCCTGTGAGACCTGTAGCACCTGTGGGACTCGTGGGACCAGTGGGTCCTGTCGGTCTTGTGGGACCTGTGAGACCTGCGACACCTGGATTCAGAAAAGTGGCCCACGCTGGGGCAAATCGCGATTCTGAACGACGGGAGCACAGCACCGATCCGAAAATGAGATCCGCGCGGCAGCGAGAACACCGTCTTGAAAACCAGATAGCAACCGGGCTGTAAAATGCCATCGGGAAGACCAAATCATGACTTCCTGTGTGGAAGAACAATACGCGGAGAGGGCGGAGCCACGCACCTGACAACATCAGGGAATCGAGAAGGATGGTATTCATATTGCTCTACACATCTACATACATACACACATACACGCATGCGTACACACATACACACATGTACACATGCTTACACACATGCATACACACATACACACTCACACGTTTACGTGCACACATACATAAGTACATCCATGCATGTGTACATATATACATGCACACGCATACATATCTATATATCTGTATGTCCACAACTACATCCACACGCACATACATACACACCTACCGACATGCAAACACACATCCGTACACACATGCATCCATGCACACATACATGCATCCACACAACCCGTGCAGGCACATATATACATACATACATGCATTCATACATGCATACGTACACACATGTACCAACACATCTACGTATGGACGTACACACAGACATCCATGCATACATGCATCCACACATACATACATCCAACATGTGTGCCTACCTACCTACCTACCTACCTACCTGCATACATGCATACATACATACATGTATA